AACTGGATGCTTCGGACTCGGTGTTGGTCCTTTCACTCGGCGGTCCTTCCCATCTCACGTCCTCCGTAGCCATCCATCCACACTCATAGTCGGCAGCAAGCTCTGCCAGAGTGTCGGCCAGTTCCCGAGCAGACTCCCACTCCTCAGAAATCATTGATCTCAGCTCTCAACCTGTAGAGCGACTGCAACAATCAGCCAAGCAGGAAAACACATGTGGACCGACACCAAGTCAAGGCTCTGATCTTCTCAGATAATCGATCTTGCGCCAGAGATTTCGGATCTTCAGGAGCCCCGCTTTGACGAAACACTTTACAGTTCTTTTGGTGAACTTTGCCATGGCGCACAGGTCTGAATGACTGACACACACGGAACAGAAACTCAACGGAATCAGGCCTATCTGTCACTTGAGAACCCACAATGAATGGCGATCAGAAGTCAGGCGCATCTGCAAAGTACAAACTTCATGCAGTCGAGGGTCCCCATCTTCCAAGCTTCCATAATCTTCTCAAAGCCTGGTCCGGCTCCAAGCATCTTCTTCAAGCTGGGTGAGATCCACTGCATCACGCAGGTCATCTCCATCATCTCTCGGAGCATATCGTTGCTCATTTGCGCATTTTTCTGCAAGGGAGTGCAATCAATAAACAATGATACATGAGCTGGACTGCACAGAAATGAAATGCATCTCACGGGATGTCATGGGTGTTACAACTGGCCCAACACCTCGCCTGGCTCTTCACGGAAGACCCCGGCGGGGCCTTGCTCCGATGAAGACTAACCACACGTTCCAGCCATGCTATGGTGCAGGCATCCGTGACTTCCTGAGGTCATTGTCTCCATGTTTGAATCCCAATGAGAAGACTGTCAGAACCCCCACAACATGTCACGGTTGTAGAATCCAAGCGTCCATGATTTCGGGCCACCTGCCACCCTGGCCTCTCCCGAGGTTTGTGCCCGGCACATAAAAGTCGCCCGCCAAGTTTTCCAGAGTCAGCGCTGGCAGGTGCAAGACACGCACTGAGTCCCAGAGATTGAAAGACAGCGACTAACAGAGAGAGAGAGAGAGAGAGATGGGAGATATGAGAGATATATACATCGAGAGACGAGAGAGAGAGAGAG